AAGGTCAACTTTACTGCCTAGCACAAGACTTATTCAAGTCATTTTTATCCAAAAACAAGCACAAAGCTAGGTTTTATGCAATCACACACTAACCACAGTTTGGCTACCTGGTACCTTTGTGTGATGAACAGGTAATAATGCCTCTCCCTGCATCCAAGGGCCTCCATCTGCCAGTGGGCTTGGGAATAGCACCTCTCTCATTGTAAAGAACTTAAAACAGCATGTACCCCATAGTAATCTCTCCAGGAATGCTGTCCCTTGCCATCTCTACCACCGCCACCATGCTCCTTCCCTTCCTAGAGTGTGAGGGACCTGGCCACAACCCACTGCCACGTGGGTCAGATCAGCCTCGCTCCGTGGACAAGAGAGCGATCACACGCGCACACCCATCTCTGCCTTCTCGCTGCAGGCACACCTCCCAGAAATGTTGCCCATCGAGTTTCCCCGACATTACAGTTATAGTTGAACATGACTATATTTTTATAAGAAATTAACATATGAGCCCAAGGTCTTTTTAAAGAAGATGTTATGGCTGTCTAATAGTTATCAAAATTAATTCCCCGGCTCTGCTCAAAGGCGTGGTTCATGGCGCTGGGTAGCCCCCGCCACCCCGTCCCCTGACATTAAGCAACTGCAGGTCCTTTCCACACAGACGCTAGAGCCCAGCTTGCGGTCTGCCCCAGCTGACCCCCTGGCATTTTTGCACTCTCGTTTTGGGCTGTTGGTAACTTCACACGAGCGTTTGTGTTTTTTTCTGTAGTGTCGGGAAATATAAGTTTTGCTTTTGCACGAGGCGGGGCAGCGTTTTAGAATCTTGTTTACTCTTACTTTTGCTGAGCAAGGACAGCGGTGGGAGGGGTCAGCAGGTCAGCATGCACTGAGGAATCCTGACTTTTGCAGCGGCAAGCCCCCGTTTTGAGTCTTTGTCCTTTTTGGCTTTAAACAGAAACCATAAACAAAGGTGCTTTTAGAGAAAGGAAAAAGGCACAAAAAATAGAGAATTCTTGTCTAAAGCAAAACAAATCATTTGAAGGGCCCTGCTGTCCTTGAATTTGGAGGCACTTGATTTTCACGCATCACCAGACAACGTCTGCTGCAGGCGAACTCTGCGACAGGCAGGGTCACCGGGGGTCACTGCAGATGAATGTGGTCCATAGGCAGAGGGGATCTGGCTGTGTCCTCAGCAGAGCTTTCCGTGTGTGTGTGGGGGGGAGGGGATGAATCCCTCCGCGCCCCCCAGAGCTCCGTGCCCAGCCAGAGTGCCCTGAGACAACCTCAGAGTGAGGTTCAAAGTCCCCAGGGTTGGGGGAAGACATAAGGTGGGTTCATCGGTGTTGGCCTTGACCCAGCTTTTGTGTCAGGTGGGGAGTGCACAGGTGGTTAGCATCGTTTATGCTATGGCTATTCTCTGGGTCATGAGACCCTCTGGGCCATTCTGAGTGGATCAAGGATTGCATTGATTTTGTTCTCTTCTGTTTTTAATCCCAAGCTCTTTGGGGAACAGCGAAGAGCTGCCTGTTGAACTCCAGCCTAACCCTGAGGTCTCAAAATTCCAGTGCTACATGAACTGCGCTTAGACGTACTAGGTTTCTTTACCCCGAGGAACTGGCCCCGCCTCCCGGCCCAGACAGACTGGACGATGGTGGAGGTGGTGGTGGTAACTACGGTGATAAAGATGGCACTGACATCACCGGTAGTAACAGCAGGTGCTTCTCTAACACGTCGCTTGCTCCAGGTCCTCTTCTAAATGCTCCACGTGCAGTAACTCATCCGTCTTCCCAACGGCCCTGTGAGCACTATTATTGTTCCTGTTTTACAGATGAACAAACTGAGAAGTGGGGTAACTTGTCCAACGTCATATAGCTAATAAGTGGTAGAGCAGGGATTTGAACCCAGCTTCCAGCCACCACGCCGTGCTGCCGCTCAGAAGCCAGCCTCCGTCTGAGTAGACGTATCCTCAGGTGCACATCAGGCAGTCACCTGCCTGCACATCTTTGTGGGTCTAGCCTGCCTCTCCCCAAGAAAGCACGGCGGTCGCTGCTTCCTTTCCGCCCGCCCCCTGCCTGCATCCTCATCTCCACTTCCCCTCATCGGGCACGGCCTTGGCAAAGACCCCTGGTTTCGTTCCTAAATGTCAGCTGTTCTGTTTACCACGGGGCAGTTTTAATGCCGATTTTCCAGTCTGGCGAAGCCGCCCAGCCGGCTGAGCTCATGACGGGACAGCCCCTGTGCCGAAACGCTCTCAGGACTCGCACGTTCCGGGCAGCCTCGCCACCTCGGTCAGGCGTCTCCCAGCACCACTGGGGCGTTTCTCAGTCCTCCTGATCTTATGTGGATGGATGTTGTCCAGAAATGCTATCTTACACTCTCAGGGAGTTAACCTTTCAACCCAGGCTGCTTTTCCTCACTGCTGGGCTGGATAGCTGGGCTTCAAAACCGGCACCTGAAGCCAACAGATAGTGAGATAACCCATGTTCTGTATTTCTGTTGAAGTTCTGGGATCAGAACAGACTTGAGTTCTGAAACAGCAAACTCCATGGCCCGGACGCATTTGCTCCTCCAGCAGATGTGTCCTCAGCGAGGCGGCGGCAGAACTGCTGATAGGATGCAAAGGGCAAACGTTCTCACCTGCTTCCCGCCTGCCCTCACGCTGGGGCTCAGCCCCCACGCACAGACCCCAGGGGCGGTCGGGGCTGCAGCAGCCAGAGCGACTAAGGCAGATGTGTTCTCCGCTGCTGTATTTAGAGACCGACTACCTTCAGACCCTGGGCTGGCACAACAGCGCTTTACCCTCCCTTCCCCCAAAAGTCTCATTCACCCTAGTTTATTTATCAGAGCAGTGTGGTATTTTTCCTGCCTTAATTCTGTGGGTCAAAGTAGTTTGGTTCTTACAGAAAATGAGAGACGAGAAATGAGCCACGGGCCCTGTGCTGGGTCTGTCCTTGGACCTGCTGGCTCTCCTAGACTGAAATACCGGACACCCTTACTGTCTCAGAATTGGCATTCCCTGCCCGCCCCCAAAACACTCTCCCTGTGTGCACCAGGGCCACCAATGGGCTATGACTGTTGGTTGTACTTGAGATGACTTTTAAAAGTATTAAATTACGTGGTAAGAAAGGTTTCCCTTTTCAGTTTTCTTTCAATCTAGAAAAAGACTCTGTGAGGCTGGAATATTCCGAATATTCTTAGTCTTGTAATTCCCCCTCTGTAACAACTAAGAGCAGGCCTTGGGCAATTGTATCAGCTGGAAATAAGGAACACTGTCGGGTTGTCACTGTGTTGATTTTCATGGTTACTTTCAATTCATGGCAGACAATCCTGGTTTTTCATTTACCATAGTGATCCATTTTGAGTGATCAATTTTTAGATGCTGAATGTTCAAAAGTGAGGACTCGTCTGAGTCCTCAGATGATGCCAAGTGATGCCCATCCCGGGGCCACACTTGGGGAACAACCTCCAGACCAGTTAAGTCAGACTCCCCGGTGGGGGCCAGGGGCTGGCGCACACATCCGTCAGAACTCACTAAAACATCCTGTGAGTTTCCAGTGCTCAGCAGGGGTGGAGACACACTGCCCGGGGTCCCCAGGGGCAGCGTCTGACTCCACACTACCATCGCATTTTCTCTTCCTTCTCTCTCCTGCTTCTGGCCCTTCTTCTCATCTACTTCCTCACCCGTTTGCTCTTGTTCCTCTCCCCCATCTCCCCTCTCCCAGCTCCCCACACCTGCTCTCGTTAGTGGCACCCTCTGACACTGCTGCTCAGGGTAAGGCATCCCTGGCACCACGCTGTCGCAGCCACGTCAGAAAATTTCCTCATTGCATCGCTCTCCCCAGCATTTGCTTGCCAGTTCATAAGCTGTCAGTCCAGTTTCTGCACATCCCTTTGGGTTGTGTTCTCTGCCAGGAACTTGTGTTAACAACAACGATCACAGTCATGACCCGGCTCTGATGTGTGCCTACCACATTGTTCCAAGTACTTTGCACGAACCTACATCACCAGCCTCCAAACGCAGGCAGCCTGGCCCCGGAGCCCACGTTCAGAGCAGATGGGACCCCAAGTGCGTTGCCCCTCATCCCGGTTCAGGTGTTCTGGCATGCTGTCCTCTGTGCAATAAGAAATTGAAATTTGGACCCACCGCTTACTTCGATAATGTTTGGAATTGATAAGTTCTTTACATCATCAGCTTAAATGCAAATGTCTCTGTAGGAAGCCCACAATTCTAAATCCTGTTGAGATTTTTAACTCATCGCCATTCAGAAGAGACCTGCCCCAGACGATCTGTGTGTGCGTGGGCTGTCTGCACTGCGTATAAACTGAAGATGATGGAGCCGCACCCACACTTATTCTGCCACCGGCACTACTCTTGACAGCCTTGGTGGTCCTCATGAGCTTGTCCGGGATGCAGCCTCAGCGTCAGCCGTTTGGGGCTTTTTCTGCCATTGGAAAGAATCTGATTCTCATCCCAGTGCTTCATTGGAGAGAGACCTGCGGCTCATTTCCATTCCTTGTGGGGAGCCTTATTCTTATGCTCCCATTTTTAATCTTTTGTGGGACTTGGGGTGCTGTTTTAGGACACTAGTCCTTTTCTGCATTGCATTAAAAAGCTTCTGCCTGAGTTTAAGGGAGTTCTCGGGCAGCCAGGTCCCCTGGAGTCCGCCGCCCTCATCGCAGATTTTGCAGTGGTGGGTAGTGGGGGTGAGTGCGGCACACTGTGCCCCGGGCAGAGTGGGCGCTCACATCAAGGAATTGTCGGTTCCCTCCCCCGCCTTCCAGGCGTGCTGTACATAATTCCGCCGGCTTCTCCCAGCAGCCCTGTGCCACTGGAACCGTGCCCCGGTTCATTCGTCTAGACGGTGGCGGTCGGAGGCTTCTCACCTCACCTCCTCTGCCCGTAAACACCATCTGGACATGCCTCTCGTTCAGCCCAGTGCTGACACCGGGCGATAGGAGTCAGGTCTCCTTTTCGTAACATTTAATCTTTCTTCCTTCTCTCTTCACAGTGCAAGATGCAAAAAATCTAATCCCCATGGATCCAAATGGACTTTCAGACCCTTACGTGAAGCTGAAACTTATTCCTGATCCCAAGAATGAGAGCAAACAGAAAACCAAAACTATCCGCTCCACACTGAACCCCCAGTGGAACGAGTCCTTCACGTTGTAAGTTTTGTCCTCTCTTCTCGAGCCAGTGCCCTCCCTACCCACCACAAAAACGCCTGCCTCTCGGTCAGTGATACCTAGGTGGGCTCGTTACAACGGCCTCCACACACCACTTTGTTCCTAAGACTTTCTCAGACGACTGCTGGGGAGAGCTGTTGCCACTCCCGTTTGATGGACAGCAACTTGGTGTCAAGAAGTACATGATGCTGGCCCCAAATTATTATCAATATCTACTCTGCACAAGAATTCTCGTACATTACAGATGATATAAAAATACCTCATGCTGAACTTAGGATCTTTTGAGGGTTAGGGGATGATGTAAGGCAAGGATGATAGATCCTTTTTGATACATTTGAATGATAATTTTTAAGAAATGTAATAAGTGAACAACAGGCACTGCTGTTGCCACTGAAATGGGAAGATCCTTACCTTTAAGCAGGGAAGACTTCTTGGAGGAGGTGGCATTTAAAGTGGGCCTTGAAGGAATACAGGACTTCAGAGCTAGATGGTAGACAGGGAAGAAGGAAGGGGTTACCGGGAGGAAGGAATGGCAGAAATAAGTCAGGGGTTGGAAGGCGCTGGCTGCGGCTGCACATGAACACGTGGTCCTTCTGGCAGACTAGCGCACAGGGAGCCGTTTACCTGTGGAGAGCCAGGAAGAGAGATCTCAGCCGTGTGGGAGAGAGGCCAGCAAGCCTGGCTCGGTAAAGGGCCGAATAAGTAAATATTTCCGACTTTATAGGCAGATAGTGTCTGTCACAGGCACACAGTTCTGCTGTGCTAGAGTCAAAGCAGCCATAGACAATATGTATGGCTATGGCCATGTCCCAATAAAACTTTATTTATAAAAACAAGCAGTGGGCCAGATTTGGCCCACGGGTCCTAGTTTGCTAACCCCTAGTCCAGAGCGTTGGTTACCTGGAGGCTGGAACTTTGTTGGCAATGGGGAGTCACAGGAAGAGCATCGAATGTACTTTTTAGTTTTTAATTTCAAGCTCACATTATGAGCATGGGGTGTCTCCCAGGAAACCATGATCAGCATAACGGTGTGTGTGTTTGTTTGTAGCAAATTAAAACCTTCAGATAAAGACCGACGACTGTCCATAGAAATCTGGGACTGGGACCGGACCACGAGGAACGACTTCATGGGGTCCCTCTCCTTCGGCGTTTCAGAGCTGATGAAGATGCCGGCCTGTGGGTGGTAAGGAAGCCGGGGTCACTGTGTCCGTGTCAGCCAAGGGCCAGTAGTCTCAGGGCGTCAGAGCAGTTAGAGGTTTGGAAACAAGGGGGCTGAAGTCTCAAATGACCATCGAACGTGTAGCTTTCTGACTGTCGTCTCCCTGTGGGACGCATTTCAGGAGAGGCTGGGCCAGAGGCTGCAGAAGACAGGTCGCTGAGCCCGGGGCCTTCACACTTCTCTCCCCTGTCTCTGAAAGGTACAAGCTGCTCAACCAAGAAGAAGGTGAATACTACAACGTGCCCATTCCAGAAGGGGACGATGAAGGAAACATGGAACTCAGGCAGAAATTCGAGGTGAGGATCCCCACAAAATCCCTGGGACCCCTTTCCTTGAGAAAGTTTAATAACTTCAGGCAGAGCCAGACCTTTGAGGTCACCCTGCTGAAAGGGAAAAAGTAGCTTCGGTGTTGATCTTTCTTTTTGTTTACAACCAAAAAATGTTACCTAATCACCTTCCTTTGGAAGCTGTTGACATGCTGCGCCTATTCTCACTTAGAGAATGGAAGTGTCCCAGAAAAGGACATGGTTGATTTGTGCGTAAGAAATTGGTTTGTACTTCTTGGGGAGATGGGCAGGGTTCTGAGTGCAATACTCTCATTCGAAGGAAGGGCTCTGCTCCTCCCAGTGGCGGGAGGTCGTTTCGGCCTCAACCGAGCCCGTGTGGGAGTAATTGGTTTACTGCGCCAGCCTCTTAACTTGTGCTCTAGAGCTTTAGCAAAGACCAAACCAGCTCGCTCTTTCCTTCCCGTTGGGTACCCGAGTTCGCCTTCTGTCCCAAGTTCACTTGTCTTCTTTCCCCTTCCTTCTCCAATTCTCCTCTCCCCCTCGTCTCTCTCTCTCTCTCTCTCTCTCTCTCTCTCTCTCTCTCTCTCTCTCTCTTTCTCCTCTCTGTCCCTATGTCTCTGTACCCACCAAACTTCTCCACTTTTAACAGCTGTTCTTTTCTCCGAGCACCTGCCTTAAGTCCCAGGTCACGGCTTTACATGTTGTTCTGTTTCTTTAATCACCTGCATTTTTTGGCTTTTTGAGGGAAACGTATACCAGCCAGTTCAGTCTGTGGAACTGGCCAATTTGTTTTTGAATCATTCTCGTCCTCCGGCTGTTGAGAAGTCCCTGAAATTCTTCCACCCTGTTGAAATACACACACGCGCAGGCTGCTCCTGCACAGTGATGGAAACGCTGACCCGCAGCGGGTGCGGGTCTTGTTTCCCCTCTTCTACTGTTCCCTTCTCCCAAATAAAACTTCGTCCCCAAGAAACATATAGGTCATATCCAGGTAGAAGGAATTCCAAAGGAGTTAAAACATACAAGTGTTGAAAGTGTTTTGTTATACTGGCATTTGGTTAAAGTGGATATTGATGGCAAATATTTAAAAGAGGGGGCTGTGAGCCCCGATGCCCTCAGGAGCGTAAATGGGTAGAGTGAGTCGCAGGTAATACACATACACAGCACCTAATGGCTGGCCTCAGGGCTGATGAGACAATAGGGAGTGGTAGGGAGTGGGGTGAGCTGGTAAGTTCAGGCCTCGTCTGAAGGCGGCAGCTGCTGCTACTCGGCCCCGGGGACACCGATGTGCTTAGATGAGGGTCCACTGCTGCCAGATCCCCCGGTCCTGCAAGAGAAGCCAAAACCCCACATTTTTTACGACATGTTCTGATTCCTTTTAATACTAGCAGCGAAGTAAAACTTAAACTCTGGGTAAGTCCAACATGCAACTGTTCCTTCAGACACAGGTAGGATTCAGCCAGTGGGACCCAGCTTATGATCCTGCTCTTAAAAGATATAGGAGAAGCCCTGACCAGCGTGGTGCAGTTGGTTGGGCGAAAGGTTGCCAGTTCGATTCCCAGTCAGGGCACATGCCCGGGTTGCAGTTTCGGTCCCTGGTCAGGGCACATGCAAGAGAGCAACAATGTTCCTCTCACACAGATGTTTCTCCCCCTCTCTTCCTCCCTCCCTCCCTTCTCCTCTCTCTAAAAATGAATAAATGAAACCTTTCAAAAACACAGAGGAGAAAAAGAAGTAGGAATATATAATATGTTCTTTCTGAAGAGGCCTTGTAACACCCAGAGGCACGCAAGGATGAAGGTCAGGGTCCGGGGCAGCGTCAAGCACCTGTGCCAGGCATAGCCCTTCTCCTGCTGGCGTTTTTCTTCCACCTGTTTGATTGCCTACTGCCACCTCCGCCCCACAGCTCAGGACAGGAGCCCCATCCCCAGTGTCACACCACCCTTAGGAGGGATGAGTCCTTCTAGAGAGAGTTTGGGGACACTGGGCACCAGCATCACTCAGATGCCCAGTCAGGGGAGAGACCTGAGGAGCTAAAAAGAACCTTGCCGACTGCTGTGCTGTAGCGTGGCCATTGGTGATCACAGGGTCGGGAACCTCTGGGACAGAAGGCATTGGAGAGAGGGACAGCCCTGGGCCGTCGTGATGATGCCACGTGGGGTGGTGTCACACACTTCACTTTGCTGATGGACAAATATCAGCCCACTTTTAATGCTTCATTTCCGTGGCTTCCTGGGGAGTGACCTTCCTGTTTTTCTGGGCAACAAATCCAGCTTTTTACAAAGGTCAGGGTTCCCAACTCAAAAATAAATAAATACATACATACATAAATAAATCAATAGGAAACAGGCCAGAGGGCCTGAGGCCAAAAGTGCAGCATTTCTCTCCATTGGCCAGCTGGAGGCCATGTGCGTGTCCTGCTGGTGACTGTCCTCCCTCCAAGGAGAGCTGGGCCTGCTGCCCAAGGGCAAGTCACGTCAGCCAGGACAGGTTGTGTCAGTGAGTTTCAAGGGGGCGGGGCCTCTGCTGCCCCGTCACTGAGTGTGGTGCTCAGGTACTCAGAGCACCTGCGTGCACTCACAGTCCCGCTTTCCCTTGATTCGCCTTTCAACTCGGACTTCCCAGGTTTTATTGGGATTCGATGAGCTCGTTTACTTAGAGCTTTGTAGAACCCACTGCAAGAGATGGAGTAGGAAGCCCTAGGTGATGGGGTCAGAATGATGTCACAAGTTTTATGACATCTGTCCTGCATTTTAACTGGAACACTCAGACCAGATTTCAGGCAGGGGGTTAGTCACACAGCAGCCTCTGGTGGAGGCTTGTCAACACGACAGTGTGTACTTCCCAGTGCCGACTGCTGGGATGCAGCATGCCGCCGTGGACCAGGGCAGGAAGGCTGGGTCGGCATCGAGCGATTCTGGGTGACAGCACCTTCCCAAATGGGGTGCCATTAGGCATCAGGGTGCGGTGTGGGGGCACTTCCTTTAACCCCCACCCTCTCAGTCCCAGGCACAGTGTGATTGCCCCCTCCGCCAGCTGCAGCTTCCCCTCTGTGTGCCATCCTCTCCAGAGAGAACTTCTGTCCGGATGTGCTTTCCGTCACACTGGTCCTTTGCCAACCCCCTCTTTTACAGATACTCTCCCACCCCTTGGTGACAGTTTGATTCCGCTGAGTGCAGGTTCTTTCATCTAAAGGTCAGTGGTGAATCCGGGCTGGATGAAACACAGCCCGGTGGCTGGTGCCTTTAGGGACAGGGCCCGCTCAGCGGGGTTGTACGATGTCTCGCCCCCCAGGCTGTTCCTTCCACGCCCGGCTCTGTTCCCAGAAAGAGCTCACTAAATGTGGTTTTCAAATCCTCCCCCAGAAACCAGAAGTCGTTCAGTGTGAAGAAAGGAAAACGTAAAAATAAAACACCGGAGCATTTATGGCTCTGCCACTGTGTCAGTACTCGTCTGACAATAACATGGAAAAATTACAAATTTATTGCTGGTTTGAAAATCTTGGCTAACAGAATGTGCAGTGAATGAAGCTCTTTGGAGCCAAGAAAAGGCCCTGGATGGTTGGAAATGACCTTGCTCCGTAACGCATTGTCCCACTAGAGCAGTTCATCTGCCTGAGAGACAAAACAAACCAGAACCTTCACCGCCATCTTCACAGACAGGGTGTCTGTGGTCCTGTAGCCTGTTCCCTGTTTGTCTTTAAACAAAGCACAAGTGGTCTCTGAATCACAAACGTAAAATACATGTTTGTTCACTTGTTCAATAGTATTCCATAAATAAGATCAACAGTCCCTCCTGCATGGAGGTGGCTGTGGACCCTGCTTCAGGTCTCTTTGGAAATGACGCAGGAAGCTATTGAGACGTGACCACGCAATGACCCCTGTGCGGGTCAGCAGTTCCCCTGGACTTCCTGTCAGCAGTGTGGACGTCAGGGCTGCCGTCCTTCCTCTGCTAGCGATGAGGCTCCTGGCCAGAGTCAGAGAAGAGGCTTCCGCAGAGGTGACCCAAGGGTGGGTTCACCCTTGCTCAGCAAACCTTCTGTACAGGCTCACAGGATAAATATTTTAGGCTTTGCAGGCCTGAGGTTTAAAGTAGTTAACATATCAGGAATATCATTGCAGCTGCTCAATGCTGCCTTTGTAGCATAAAAGCAACCATAGGCAATATGTAAGCAAATGGATGAGGCTGTGTTCCAATAAAAGTTTATTTACAAAAGCAGGCAGCAGACCCGCTTGGCCTGTGGGCCACAGTTTACCAGCCCCTGGCTCAGCCCACGGACTCCAGAGTCAAATCCTGACCCCTGCTGTTTGTTAACACCTGCCCGCCCTGTGTGTGTGTTCTCTGCGAATGAAAACAGCAGATTGACTTAACGGTAGTGTTTAAAGGTTCGATTAAGTAGTCAACAGGAAAGTCCTGGAAGCAAACTTATATACAAGTGTTGGCTCTCATCGCCACCACCATCATCATCGTCAATATCAATATGTTTCATTGTAGAAACTGGGTTAGAAAAGGTATTTTTTTGTTTTATGTTTTTAATTTCCGAAGCTTCTCTAAAAAAAATTTTTTTTCATGTTGAAAGACACTCTAAGAAGTGGGCATGTTCCACACCCTGTAGTCCAGCCACATTAGGAAATAGAGGCGTGTTAGTGAGAGCGCTGCCGCCATTTGTAACATTGTTTGGGGGGAATAGGGCTCCGTGTACATTTAGATGGGTTTCTGGAACGTAGTGGGTTTGTAAATTGGGAACTTTGTGTGTATCTGGCGACGGATCGGATACTCGCTGGACAAGATCGGGTTTAAGTGGTTATCGGGAGTCACTAGTCTCCTGCTGAGCCGGCGTGTACATTGACCACGCCTGCTCCTCGTTAGACTCAAGGTGAGCACCTCAGAAAGGCGTGTGCTGTTACCCACACCAGGAATGAACACAGTGTGAGGACGGTAGCAGCTGTAGGTTAACAACAGAAACGACACAGTTTAGTACTGATTTTATTCACCTGAAAGCTCAGGAC